GGGATCGAAATGCAATTCTTGTAAAGGTAAAATACATGTCAAAATTATCACAGAATCATCACTGTAATGGTACATTGTACATTAGAAACAGCTCACTGGAAACAAAAGGGTTAGCTGTTTCAAGAGACCATATTATATCACCAGGCGAAAATACCAAGTTTTTGTCCCACTTCATTTCAAGGCACTTTCGCATTAGGGTCGAGCAATCATCCCATTGAGCACAAGATTTGACATTGTGAAATGCCCAAGTAACTGCAGCGGCAAGAAAGTCGATTATGTGATGGAGGTAACTATTATGTCCGCAAAGCACGATTCATACAGGGGTCGGTGAAGAGATGGGAAACCGACAGTAGAGTAAAAAGTGTACTCTTATTAGCTGAAACAACCAAATCAATACATAAAGGTTCAGTTTTTACTTTTCTCCCCCACTAGATTACAGGATCAACATCAAAATTTACATGACAAAACATGACAGCCAGATATTACACTTGAAATCAATATGAACACCATTAAATACCTTCTGCAGAAATTCTTTGCCAACTCGAGCACAAAAATGATCTACTTGTACGGAGCAAATAAGATTGATGAATTGTGGCCACCAAATCCAAATGAGTTGGACAATGCCACCTTGATATCCAGTTTTTCTTTCTTTGGTCCAACCAGCATATTTATATCCTGAATTGATGTTTGATCATCATTTATGCTATGTAGACAGTTCAAATATACTAACCATACATACACCAGCTAAACCACAAGACCAGTAAAGGTGCAAAACCAAATCGTACTAACTAGTATGGTTTCAATTACTGGTTGCATTAATTGAAAGTGAAAAATGGCATTAAAAATGGAGCGATTTGACAATCTGACCAGTTACGCAAGTGGTTATCCTAATGTTTCATGATCTAAAAAGAATGCTCTTCTGCAATTAAAACTATACAAGAATCAGCAAACATCTCTCTCATTTGACGACAAAGCATGACAGTATGCTGTAACACTACACCTTTGCAGATGAAACAATAGAAGTAATGGCACAAAAGAACATACCACGCCATTGTCTGGATTTTCAAGATTGATATTTGGATGAACCCAGCCTGTTCGTATTGCCTGCAAGGAGACAAGGTCCATGTTTACAATCAATAATACAGTTCCAAGTTGGTGATAAATTTCGCGGATAAGGAATACAGAGTTACAGGCTAACAGTATGAACAGATAGACTTTGTTTGCAGTGAAACAACTGAGAAATCTACATTATCTTGAAATATAATAAAATATAAGACATGAGAAATATACACCGATAGTGAACTAAGAGAATGAGCTTAGACAATTCATGAAGGACCCATGTGAGGAAAAGGAAAAAGGAGACATACACACCCAAAATAAATTGTCAAGCCAGGTCTTCAGGCTTATTATGCGTTAAAGGACTCCAAATGAAGGTGCCAAGAATAAACATGGATTAAAAAGCAGAACCCAGCAAAATTAAGCCACCTAGAAGGTCATTGAGGCCTCTATTCTATGACTTATTCCATCCTCAAAACCTGCATCATTATCTATCCTTGTTTGATGTTAATGATTATAAACTTGAACATCGTATTCTTAGGACTCTTGGAGTATCTGAGACAACAAGAAAAGCTTT